TCAGCAAGTACAAGTAGATCCGCCCTGTGTGTGTTAATGTATATGAGATGTAATGGATAAGTCTGAGTATTAGCTTTGAGCTCATAATGTGATCGTTAAATTTGTCATTTTTTTTTTTTCAATAAAATTGTTATACTATTTATTTTTAAAACCACGTTCGTTTAATTCAAATACTTTGAAAGCAATAAGACGATTATAAATACAAATATGTTCATTCTTTAGTTAAGGCTCGTATTAATACAGAATGAACATAAGCGACGATTATAAATACAAATATGTTCATTCTTTAGTTAAGGCTCGTATTAATACAGAATGAACATAAGCAGATTTAATCGTAGCATATGAAAGCGCCATCCCCATCATACAATCGTGGCCTATGAAAGCATCACTCTTATCACACAAATAATCTCGTCCGCCTATTTATAAGGGCTGATAATCCTAGCATATGATCATAGCTTCACATAATAAAATTCTTACATTATTTCTATAGGATTTTTCCCGATCTATTTTTTAAAAAAAAAAAGAGATGAAAACCAAATGAAATGATTATCTATTAAAAAAATATATATATGACTCGCTAAACTTGTGAATAATCAATTACTTCTAATTCATAATCTAATTTTATGATTCGTATGTTAAGTTAATATGGTGTCTCCGGTACCGAATATGACATCTATCGTCGGGATCTCACGGGACTGGCAGAGAGTGTTACAAAAATAACATCAATTTATTATATTAATTAGACTAGAAAAATTTAACTTATTTAAACAACTTAATCCGAATCATATTTAAATTTGTGGTTAATTATAATGGATACTGGCATGTCTATAGACGTAGACCTGATGGAATAGTCCACAACATAAATATCGTTTTTATATTTATACCCTTTATTTTTTATAACTTCGATGTTTTTCGACTATGGAATATTGTTGATGTTTAAAATAATAAAATTTAATATTATGACATAATTATTACTATGATGTGTAATTACATTATAATTATTTTATGCCTTGAATTTAAAATTCTACACTAATTTTAAATTTTATCTCTGTTTTTTTTTTAATATTAAAGAGGAGATTTGAATTTAAAATATATTAGCAAGTACTATATATATTTTCCATTAGACAATATCTTGACGCATAAATTTTATTTTTGCTAGTAAGTGGGATTCTTTCTGTTTTTTTTTTTTTTTAATTTATTTGATTATTGGTTGAATTATTTAAATCAGAAAAAATAGGACACCTAGAATTTCACGGGATTCTATCTAAAGCGAAGTACATTTACACATCATCAAATAATCCAATTAAAGAGTCGGGGTAGAAAAGAATTCTGCAGGCAGTGGGGTGTCCACTCCATTGTCTATGTTCATAGCTATGCGACACAAATTATTATTTATTTGTTCGTTATTATTATTATTTGATCCAATTATTCAAAGATTTTCATTTATTTATAATTGAATATATAATTTCAACTATTTATAATTGAATATATAATTTCAACTATGAATTTCGTTATTTTCATCTTATGATACTTTTAATTTTTATTTTATCTATCAAACACTTCAATTTTTAAAATTTAGAATGATAATTTCACTCGATTCAATTCGATCCGATTTTTGTTGATTAAAATAGTGGATAAACGAGTTTTGGGATGGATTCATGGACTCAAATAGTATTTTTACCACTCATATCAAATTCGAATTGGGTTCAGATTCAAGAACTCGGATACTCACCATCTATTTAATTAACATTCTAAAAATATTTAAATTAATTATTTTTCTCAAATAAAAATTATATGTATACACCTTTCTTATTATAATTAAAGTTATAATTATATCAAATGTTGATATTATATTTTTTTTATTAGGTCGAAATAGAATTTTATAATTTTTACTTAATTTTTATTTTTAAAAATAAAAAATAAAAAATAATTTTAATGTTAAATGAATATTTAAATAGATAATTATAATTGGATTGAAACGAGTTCCAATAATAAAAGTAAATTTCTAAATGTGTTCCTGTACTTAATTTATAATTGAGTTCAGGTGGGTGGTGCATTCTAAGTGAGTAACTAACCCACTGCCATCCCTAATAAAATCACACGTATTAAACACTTCAACTTATAAATTATTTTATTGACTAATTTAACTTGTAAAATTAGAGCAATTAAATATCTATTAACAGTTGAAAATATAAAAATTATTATTCTAAAATTATGCTAATTATTTATTAAATTAATATTTTATATATAAAAATTAAAATAAAAAATTATTACTAATACGAAAATTTGTTTGATGTTATTAAAATTTATAAATTTAAGTATATAATAATTCATCCATAAAATTGAAAGTGCGAAGGAGTTAAAGTTTTAGAACTTATTTGGTTGGATGTAAAAAAAGAAGGGGTGTAAAATAACAAGTGAAAGTTTATTGCAATTTACAAAATACCTTGTTTGGAAAGGAGGTAAAATTAAGAGTGGATGTAAAATCTCTTTATTTTATATCCTCCAATTTACTCTTCAAAATGGAAGGAAAATAAAAACAACAAAGGAGCAACTTCTTTATTTTATATCCTCCAATTTACTCTTCAAAATGGAAGGAAAATAAAAACAACAAAGGAGCAACTAAGTAAAATATATTTATTTTATTTTCACCCTTTTATTTTTTCTTCAAACCAAATAAAAAATATAAAATAAAGAGATAAAATAAAATAGTTTACTTATTCTCTGTTTTACATCCTCCTTCCATCCAAACAAATCAGTAAAGTTTTGAATTTATGTTACTAGAATCCAAAAGAATACCTCAGCTCTAGCAACGAGGTCGCTCGTTACTGTTTCAAGTGACATGCATGGCTTTTAATTAATGCTGCACATAAATATAATATAGACAAGAAAAAATGTCAGTGAAAAAATTGATATTAAAAAAATAAATGAAAAGAAAAGAGTCTGTCAAATGGATCAATTAATTTCAATTACTGTCCAATTTAAATATTTCAATAATTTAAAAATGAAAATTTTTAATCAATTTAGCATTTAAATTTTATCAAACGGATCAATTAATTTCAATTACTGTCCAATTTTAATAGTGTGTTTTCTTTCTACATTTCTACACAAATTTTCTAATACCAATCAAGACGTTAAGAATCTCGTATAAGGAACAACTTTTGACCGGGAGGAAAAGTCCAAAACTTTTATACTCTATCCTGGTAAAAAAAAAAAAAAAAAAACAATATTTCCTTTTGCATTATTCACTGAAAATTGCCGTTTACCACTTGTAAAAAAAAAAAAAAAAAGGACATATTCCTTTTGCATTATTCACTGAAATTGGTTTACCATTTCGTGGCGTGTGAATAGTTATGCGCAGAGGAATCTTTTTATCCAGCAGCAAGGCAGAAGAACTTACAAAATATGAATATAAAAAATTTTTTATTAATAATAAAACTTTAATTATAAATATATTTATTTATTTAGGTTAACGAGAAAATATATGTACGGTTTGATTCAATTTTTTGTACTGTGAAAAAGATTTCAACAGAAATACATTTTTAATTAAATATTTTACTTGTATATTATATATAATTATTTCTCTAATTTATGATATATCCTTTGTTTTTTCTGTCAAACAGAATTACATGGGTTTTGACAATATTAATGCCCTTGTAAAAACAATTTATAAGTATAATGTTAAATTGAATCTATTTACAAGTGTAATTTTATTTTTCCTTATTTGGCATGTTAAAAATCAAAATAATATATCTAAAAAATGAAAAAATATAATAATAAAATAAATATCAACTCATTCTTTACTTGAGTAATTTGATTATAGGTCCGCAAACAAGTTTAGTGCTCAGGCATAAAATTTTCATGATAATAAGCTACGTACTTTTAACAACAAATACCTTTAAAAAAAAAAAAATGTCACGCTATGGGATATATTAGTCGTATAATTTAATAAATAAGAAACATACAACATATACACAAATCAGGACATGGTACATAAGAGTATAAAATTCTATTTTACGTGTCAAGTGGATTTCCCCACTACTCATTTTAGGAGAATATTAGAAGATCTCACATGGATTGAGACTTCAAATATTTATACACCAATGCCATAAAATGATGTGTGTGTTTAAGTAAAAAAATATATTGGGTATTTTTTTTTTAAACCATCAGTTAACTTGATAGGTTCTTAATAAAATAGTATTATCTTATGCATTTATCATTGATTAGTGATCAAATTTCATATTTGTACGGTATTGCCAAATAAATTGTATTTTGGTAAAAATGCTATTTGATAATTTCAATTTTTTTTATCTAAAGCTACTGTTTCATTTGGTGGTTTCAATGTAAAATAAAAAATTATGTCGTATTGATATGTCAAAATGGAATCCCATTAATGACAATATCAATAATTTCTTAATGAACACAGGGCGGAGGTTATAAATAAAAAAATAGATTCATTACCACAATTGTCAAAATTTTAAAAATTGATTAAAATTACAAAAACAGTTTTTGTTAGTGATTTAGCCTAACTTGGACCTTGTTTGACAACAATTTTTGATATGGCTTTTAGTGTTTTGATCAAGTTAAAACTCTATCTTTATTAGTTGGAACGTTTGGTAATATAATTTTTATAATAGTTTATAGAGATCAATGAAAGTTTTTAACTTTCAACGTTTATCTCTTGAATAATAATTTTTTTTTTAATATATCCATTTTTTTTCCTTGAATTTAAATAATTAAACAATTAATGTCATTTTTTATTATTTTAAATTAAATAATTAATTTTACCAAATAATCATAATTTAAACCATTATATAATAGCTATTAACTACAAAGTTATAAAACAACTAATAAGTACTGCATCAGCTAACTACTAAATCAGTTAATACGGTGGAATATACCCTTAAAAGCATCCAAAGTTTTCGTATTTGTTTTCGTTTTTTTTTTTTTTTTTTAAATAAGTTTACTTAAGTTAATATATTCCTTTTCATGCTTCAATAGTCAATCGTCATTTTTCCTTTTCACTTCGTTACTCCATCTTTCTCTTTCTCTCTATCTTATAAAAGCAAAGAGTCGATCGACCTCCTGTGTTAAACGCCAATTCAACCATAAATTAAGAAAGACACAAGAAAATGGATAACGTTCGACATAGAAGAACAAGCGAGAGAGAAAATAGTCCCAACAGAGCCAAAGTAAGCATACAAGTCCAGCCAAAGCAGGTCAAATCTATCAGAAAAATTCAAGTTATTTACTATCTTTCTAGAAATGGCCATCTTCAACATCCACATTTCATGGAAGTTACCCATTTCGCCAATCAACACCTTCGTTTGAAAGGTATTTATATACAAAAACAACCAAGTTTATATATATATATAATACAGATATTTATAATTTGATTACTGAACTATTGTTCTTTTTATTGTTAATTTGATTACTGAACTGTTTAATTGTTCTTGTATTATCAGATTTTATGGATCGGCTCACAGTTCTTAGAGGCAAAGGGATGCCTTCTTTATACTCATGGTCTTGCAAAAGGTGTAGTATATGATTAATTGTCTAGTTAGTATTGAACTTCTTGTTGATTATTGCAAATTATTTTTTTTAATTTTTTTTTCCAGGAGCTACAAGAATGGCTATGTGTGGAATGATTTGGCAGAAAATGATATTATTTATCCTTCTGATGGAGCTGAGTATGTTCTCAAAGGATCTGAATTAGTTGAAGGATGTTCTGGTTAGTGTTGAATCCTCATCACTAGCTTATTTATTTATTTATTTGAAATAATAATTAAGAATTTTTAAAATCTTTTTATGTTACTATTATATGTAATTAATTAGTTAATTAAGTGATAATTAGATAAATTATTTTGATAATTTGCACTTTTTATTAATTTAATTTTAGTATAATATGACTGATAGATTTTTTTTTTCTTTAGCAGAAAAGTTCCAAGAACTTCAACTAAGCAATAATAACATACAACTAATTCAAGAGCCCAAATACCATGCAAAACCAAAGCAACTCGGTCCGAGTCAACTCTGCACCAAGTATGAGTTTGAAGAATATGAAGAAGAAGACCAAGAACAAGAATCACAAGAAGAATATGAAGATGAAGAGAAAACAAGCTACACAACCTCCACAACTCCTCACTCTCGTTGTTCTAGAGGTGTGTCTACTGAAGAGTTAGAAGACCAACAAGAAGCTACAAAAAACCCGAACTCAACTGAGCCAACTCATCCCAACTCGTGCCCACCACCATCAACCTCCTCATCGATAGTAAATAAAAACAAGCATCAAAACACAACTTCCAAACGATTTGAAGATGGTGACCCAATTGCCACTGAGTCACCGCCGAGTCGTAACTCGGTCCTCCTCCAACTCATCTCATGTGGAAATTTAGCTGTAGCTAAAGCAAAGGGTAATAGTAATGGACTGAGTTTAAAACAACCTGAAAAGATGAAGAAAAATGATATTGTGATTAAAAGGAGTAGTGAAAGCAATCTTCTTCATAAAGGGGTTTTGTGTAAAAGTGCAATGAGAGTTGGAGAAGAGGAAATGATGATTAGTTGCATGTCTGAAAATCCTAGGTTTGGAAATTTACAGGTGGAAGAGAAGCAGTATTTTAGTGGTAGCATTGTTGAGTCAGTGAGTGAGAACCGAGTTGCTGTTGAGTCCGCGTTGAAGAGATCAAACTCGTATAATGAAGAAAGGTCAGTGTTTGATGCTGTTTTAATATAAAAATGTTTTTATCATTATTATTATTATTATTATTATTATTATTATTATTTTAATTCCATGCATTATTGATTATTAGGAGCAAAAGGAATGGAGTGATGGAAGAAGCAGTACGAGAGGAAGACATTAAAGAGGTGAAAGCAACAAAAGCCAAATGCATTCCTCTAAAGAAGGCTTCATCTACATTTTCTTGTTCATCATCTTCAAAACAAACCAAGAAATATTAATGATATGCAATAAAGGTTCCTTTGAGTGGGACTTGGTTGGTGCAGTAATTATTAGTTACTATTTTACCTAATTCTTGCTTTTGTTGTGCTGTGCAAAGTTGAAACCGATGTTTGTGTAAAATCTTGGAGTTGAGAAAATGGGTATGTTGAGAATCTCTATAATATCGTTGGATTTGGTTGGAGAAGTCATATGCATATAAAGAGGCTAATCACTCATTAATGTTTGTCTTGGAGTACTGCTTTAATGTGATTTTAATGATCTTCATGATTAATAGCATTTAAGATTTGGATGTTGTGGAGGATCACATGCATGCACCCATTAATTTTTTTTTTTAGCCTGTATTGTCCTAAACTCACTTATTCGACTAGGCATGCCACCATTTCGGTTTGAATCGAAACTGAAGTAGAACCGAACTGTACTGTAGATGAACCAGAACTGAATTGAAATTGACAGTTTCTAATTTTAAATCAGAGCCGGCGGTTCAAAAGCCGGTTAAGGTTTATGTGAATGTTAAAATATGAACCGGAATTGGTAGTTAACCGACGGTTTCGGTCCGGTTCGAATCGAAAATTTTCTATTTTTATTTTCAAAATGATAATCATTAAGCCTATTTTATATATATCTCTAAAAGTCTCAATAATATTATACTATATGATATACTTTACTTAACAATTTTTTTTTTAAAATACACTTTACTTTATTTTCAAAAATGATATCATTAAGCCTTATTTTATATATATCTCTAAAAAGTCTCAATAATATATCTATATGATATACTTTACTTAACAATTTTTTTTTTAAAATACCACTTTTACTTTAAAAGTTTAAAAATCTAAAAAGTAAATAGTTAAAAAAAGAGAGAAATATTTAGTCTAAAACTTATATTATTTTTTGAACTTTTTTACCCTTTTTAAATTGTTTGCTAAGTTTTAAAAATTACATTCTTTGAAGCATTTTTCAAAAATTTTCTATAATTATTTAAATCATAATATCTTACACAATAATAAAGTGATTAATTTATTGATTATTTTGTAAAATTAATTAATTTTATTATAATAATGGAGATATAAAGGCATTTGTAAAATTAATTAATTTTATTCATATATGAGTATAAGCATTCTAACATTTATTTAAAATAAAATTTACCAATATTTTTTAAACTTATATTAATATGTACGAAATAAAGATATAACATTAAAACTGATTTTTCTTTTAAAAAAATATATATATCACCGGAAACCGTGAACGGAACCATTGGTTTATCGGAACCGTGCCGGAACCATCCGGAATCAGAACCGGACCGAAATCGGCGGTTCAAGGGCCGGTTCAGGTTCAACATTTTAAAAAATTTGAACCGTTGGTTCCGTGAACCAGAACCGGCAGTTTAAACCGGCCATGCCTAGATTCGACTAATTTGAATTCGCATCTACTAGATATATAAAGTTGTCAAAGCACTCCTTTTGAGTGTTTGAGGGACTCCATATCCAAAACTTGAACTCAAAACCTCTGATTAAGAGAAATTTTTATCATTTGATCTCATTCCTCAGAGTTTTCTTTTTCTTTTTTCAATTTAGAATGTAAATACTATTTTTTTTTGGATTTATTGGAATTTCAACGATTTGATATAATTCAATAGCGGAATTTTATTCAAATTAGCAGTAATATTACTAAGTTTAAATTATTGAAGTTTAATATTAAGAATAATAAAACTATTAAAATAATTAATTTGTTATTATTTGAGAAAAGAAATCATAGCAAAGTTTACAGGGTCTAAATTATATTCTCATGAGGAATTCTCAATGAAAAATAATCTTTAGGGTCAAACACAGAAATTGTAATTCAATTAAGATGGAAATCACCATTAAGTATGCATTAGGCCTTCACTATGCACAATTTTGGAATTCTAACTCTTCTTAATTACTTGAGAATTGAGTTAATTGGTCTTCTTAAGCCATGTTATTGAATTATTGTTGAGTAAAGTATGATTTTGCTAATGTCTTAGAGATGTAACACATTAAAAATGAAGTGGTTATTGTGGTTTTTCATGCATGTTGATAACCAAATTAGAGCTTGCAGCTGAGTTTGTGTTATAAAATTTGTAACTGAAGTTTGGAATGAGATTTATGAGTAGCTTTTGGATATGGTAAAATTTGTAAAAATTGTTGGAAGCCTTCTTGTGCTGTAATATTTGACCATACATCATAGTTTTGTAAGTTGTCCTACTAGAAGATTTCTTTTCAGGGACAACAATATTACTCTTTCTTCTCCTTCTTCTTCCTCCAGCCTCTTCCCTTCGTTATCAACATCGGGTGAGACCTAATTAATTCACACTTATGATCTTTAGTTTCCTTAAGTATATGGTAAATGATTATGTATTAATTATGTAGATTTCATTGTAAGAGGAGAAAACCGGACTGGGTTTAACGCCACCGAGTTGCCACGGCAAGTGCAATGGATGCAACCCATGTAACGCAGTTCAGGTGCCTATAGAACCAACCACCCAACCCAAATCGAGTAATAATCTTCGGTTCTTTGAGATATATTCTTCAAATTCAGGTGATGATGGTCTCGACTATCACCCAATCGTCTGGGAGTCTATGTGGTGGCAAATTTTATGATCCTTACTAATACCATCTTCTTCAAATTATACATATGAAACTGAATATATAATTTATCACCATTGCCTATTTGAATAGAGCTATATAGTTGTACTTAATTCTTAGTTTAAGGTTTTGTTTGTAAAATAACTTGATATTTTTCATAATTTTTGATTATTTGAAACATTGAAAGAAAATAAGTCAAGAAAAATAAGTTGTTGGTTAATGGAAAATAAGTTAACTTTAAGGAAAATGACTTACCCTTATTTACATGAAAAACATTTTTCTAATTTATTTCATAATCCAAAACTAGTTTTTTAGGTCACAAGGAACAATCCACTTGTTGAAGAGGTGCAATTGCAAGTCCGTAGTCTTTTTTAAAGTGTCAAAAATATGTCTAAGTGGCTTTTTTTTTTTTTTGGCAGAAATGCGCAAAATAATTTATTGATAGGTCCATACCATTTAAAATGTATTTTACATGATAATTTTTGCAACATGATTATTTTAAAATAATCATTAAATTATTTTAATAATATATATTTTTTTAAATATGTTAAAGCTCACACCATTTAAAATATATATTTTAGCAATATATTTTAAAGTAATTATAGTACTTATATATTGTTAAATTATCTTAACATGATATACACTGCATTGTTACATAATTTAATTTAAAAAAATTAAATCACATTATTAGACTTTACATAATTTAATTTAAAAAAATTAAATCACATATTAGACTAAAATAATTCATATTATTGATTTATTACTAATAGGAATACATTTTAAATGAAAACATTTTAAATAGAAACTCTAATTATTAAATTTATCTTTAATATAGATTGCTTATGAATAATATAATAGGTGTAAATGCATTATTTATATGATGGAAAATTAATTTTTTTTAATTTTATATCAAATGTTGAAAAATATTTTCTAAGAATAATTTTATGTAAAGCTAAACATTGAAAAATAATGTATTTTTCTAGAAACAAATGGAGCCTAAAGTACTTATAATATGCATTTAATGAAAATTTAAGGCTAAATATAATATAAAAAAAGGAAAAAAAAATTAGTCATTAAGAATAATTAATTAGACTATGTTTGATTGGATGTAATGTAATGTAATTATAATAAAAAATGTAATGCAATGAAAAATGTATTGTAATGGAATATAATTACCTTTCATTATTATGTTTGGTCATGTAATAAAAAATATATATATATGTAATGTAATTAGGATTTCATTTTTATGTTTGCTTGTAAATATATAATGTAATTAGCACATCACTACCACCACGCCACCAATCCACCACCACCACCATCACCACTACTATCACTACCACCTCAACCACCATGGCCACCACCCCATCATGTCATTATTAATACAAAAGAATTTAAATCAAAAGCTATTAATTTTTATATTGGATCTGAGCGTTTATAATAATGTAAGACTATATTTGGTAGTTGAAGTAGAATGAAATAAAAAATAAAACAAATAATAGAATGAAAATAGGGAATATAAAAATATATAAATGTATACATTTATATTATAATTTAATTTATTCAATGAAAATATATAAATGTATACAAAATTAATTTCCAATCACTTTAACTTTGATTTTATTATATTACATTTTTTGATTATTTTCTTTTAATTTTTTTAGTCCAAATAAATTTATAAATCTAAATGCTCTTGAATAATTTAATATAATGAATAGCTTTTTGTTCAAATATTTATTTTATATTAATAATGATGTAATGGTGGTAATAGTGGAGTGATGGTTCAGGTGGTGGTAGTGCTGATAGCGATG